GCCTCTCCAGAGGTGAACCGGACTTAGCTCCTAACAGACATTTTGGTACAAACTTTGGCACTAGAGGCATGATAAGAACTTTACGTTGAGCAATCCTATCAACAATCGTACTAGCCATTCTCGACATGGCAGGCGCCACAGACTCAGATCTAGCAGCCTCATTTTTTTCTTTCCATTCGAAGAAGTTATGTCAATCACAAGCATCTCGGCAACAAGCATGCCCTCATAAGTAGCAGAGGAAATCTTCAATCGTTATCAACCGGTATCTCTTAAGTAAGCGGGGAAGATCTCTTCTTTCCACCATTATTCATAGTAGGCTCCACGACAGAGATCTGACGAGCCAATGCATCCGTCTTGATCCTCTTTACCTTATCTTTCGAGAACAGTCCACCTTACTTCCGGCGAAGAGAACTAAGCAGCCAACGTCATTCACGGTACTTAGCAAATGAGATCAACCCAGCATTCTAGCAGGCAGAAGGCCTGCATGCCTAGTATTCCAGCAACCTATGAGGCCCACGATCTCCTCATTTCTTTCAATCGCCAGCCTGGCCTGAGCAAGGTCCAAGAGCCCAAAGGACATGAGCCATGTGGCTCGCCTAGCACTACGTCCCAGCGCTACAATCCACGGCCCCAGCCATACAAGTTGCCCTTGGCTCTAACCAAGCCAAACAGTCCAAGCAATGGCCCCTGCCACGAAGCCTCATCGGCCCATGCCGAGCTGACTCTTGACCCCTGCTAGCCAACGTGCCGTACCACCTCGAAGGCTGCCCCGCAATAGCACTATCTAAGAAGAAGACAAGAAAAAATTAAATTTTTCAACGGGCTCTTGAGACATTGAGCGGTGAGGATCAAACACCCTCGAAAGAAGAAGTTCAGAAGCTTCAAAAGAACTTCTTCAACTACAACACTTTTTATCTCCATTTTACCGGCCGAGGAGAAGAGGCTATGCAAGAAGGGGAACACGAGGCTTTCCTCTTCTATTGGTACAACAAATATATCTGTTGTACCAAATCTAACAAGTGCCTGGTCGAGAACATACCAGTGGCCGAAGCCCTGGTTAGCGGTCACACTCTAATACTTAGCTTAGCCGTTGTCGCCCATCTCTTGCGCTGCTTGGCTGAGATGACCCAACACAAGATCGACCTGTACCAAAACGGTCCCTTCTGGGTCTTTCAACTCTGGCTACAAGTTTACTTCGCCTCTTTTCGGCTAGAGATTGTTGATTTCTCGCCTACGGAAGCGCTTGGACATTAGCTGGCTTTCCGGCCAACACCCCCTCACCAAGCCGAAGAAGTATTTAGATATTTTTTTACCCTCGAAGACCTTTCTGAGGACAAGCCCTTGATATGTCGTCGTCGAGAATACCCTTTATCAATCAAGCTTCCTACATCAGTGTAGGGCGTGGATGAAGATGCTGACCTTCATCAGTCTTGGGGGTCATTCATCCTTACCCGCGACCTACCCCTCGGCTGTGATGGTCGCCAAGCGAGCTGAGAAGTGTATCATCCCAACTTCCTCGCTCGACAGCTTGGCTACCTCCAAGGTTGCCCGGTCCCCCTTCTCTCCTCATGATCCGTCCTAAGCCGTGGACGCGAACCTGGTTCTTTAGAGAAGGAATGTAAGGGTGCCAAAAGGAAGTTTCAGGAACAGTGCCAGAAATTCCGCCTTCGACCAACCATCCCAGAATCTGTTTGCACTGACACTTTCGGTGATTGGTGGGAAGAGTATATACATTTTTTTGGTGTTCCGGTCGAAACCGTTCTGAACAAAGTCTTCGGCGGTCGACCTAAAAAGGCCTCTGCCCCCCAATCCCAAGGTAATGGTTTATTTCCACCTTTTTCCTTCAACTTTGAACTCTACTGATTTGCTTTACTGATTTGCTTTTACTTTCTCAGGTAATCGGTCACTGAAAAATATGGAAGTGGTCACTGTGGCTGGGACTGAGAAAAAATCGATTGCCTCTAAGAAGGCTAAGACCACTGCGCAGGCCTTGTTGAGCAAACGGCCTCGTTAAGAGGCCGAGCCGGCCATCGAACCCCCTCGACCCGCCAAACGGGTTAAAAAGCTGGCGAAGAAAGAAGAACAGGAGATTCATGTTATCTCCAGTCAAACTACAGGAGCGACGATTCCTAGTGTTTCCCCTTCTCTCCCCATCGCCCAAGCCTCGGCGAAGAAACGGCCAACTCCGACCGAAGAAACAGCCCAAGTACGGCCTATTTCTAAGGTCACTAAACTAGCTGGTGCTCTACTGGTCGAGGCGTTTGTGGTTTCGGGGTCGGCCGCTACACCTGTCCTGGAAGAGGCAGTCCCTTTGGTCGAAAAAACTTATCCTAAAAATCCAAAACATACGGTAGTCGTTCTAGAAGAGAGCGACGGGAGTAACGAGATTCCACTAGCGAGTCCCCTTCAACCACGCAATCAACCTCCCCCTGCGTCTGAGGCAGCTGTCCAAGTCGGCCCTTCTGCGGTCGACCGTGGCAAACGACCTGTCGTAGAGCCAGAAGCGACGGCGGAAACGCCCATTCACCCGTAGGACCAGAACCTCAACATTCCTCCCCAAGAAGCCACCTCGACCTTTGTAAGTACCCCTACCGTTTTTCCTTGGTTATTTTTCTGCCTTAGAGCTCTAAACCAGGAAAATACTAAATGTCAGGTGCCTGCCTATTATTTTCATCAAAAATTCTATGCGTCGAAGGGTGTTATCTATATTTCCTGACCGCCTCAGTGGCCATCGAACGTAGATAACCTCCATCGGCCGCGTGAACTAAGAAGCATTCTAAGACACTGAGCCCGGCCATTAAGTTCTTTAGGTTCGAGCAACGAACCTGAAGACATGGCCAAAGTCTCTTCTCGGCAGGTTTAAAACAAAACCTTCTTGCTATCTTTTTCGTGATTTCCTTGAGCTTAAACTAATTTTTGTGTGTAGCCTTCATGGGAAGTCGAGTTCAAAACTCTCTTGTCAAGCACTACCAGAGTGGCTGGTCATTCGACCACTATAACTGAACCCCCTGATTCAACTGCTCTGGTTTGGTTACAAGAAGTCTTGTCTTTCTCGGCGTCGCAAGTCCTTGAGCGCAAAGGTCTTGATTTGTTGGGTGTATGCCTAAACGACCTTGGCGCTGATGCTCGAATGAGCACCGAGGCTATCGTTTAGGCGTCGTCCGCCTTGGAGCGAGTTTGGGAAACCTTTAGTGTCCTCAAGAATGGCTGAACAAGATCTAAAAGCTGCTGTGGCCGTCCAAGACACTCTTCGTTCAAAGATCGAAGCTTTAAAGGCGAAATGAGAAGCCTTGGTCGACCTCGACCGTCAAATGGCCGAATTGGCAAAACGAAGGTCAGCTATTGCTTCTGAGCTTGCGAAGGACTTTGAGTCAGGCGGCAAAGATTGGTTAATCGAATATGCGGTGAGCACAAAACGAATCAAGCAGTTGAAAATAGAGAAGAAGAACCGGCAGGCTGAGGTCATAATGGGCAAGGTGCGGTGGTTGGAGCTGAAGGAACTTCTTGGAACTCTTCTTCCTTTGTCGCCTTAGAATATTTTGACTATAACCCATCTTATTCATGAAATAAAAGAAAACTTTTTATTCTTGCATCTCCCATGTGACTAGGTAATATTTCTTTAAAAACTTTCCATTAATTGGCAACCTGTGAATAACACTGGTTCGATCTTTAAGATGGTATGCCCCATTGCCGAGGACTTTATGGATGACGAACGGCCCTTCCCAGTTCGGCGACCATTTGCCGAACCTGGGGTCTTTAATCCCCATGGGTAGGACAGTTTGCCAAACTAATTCCTCTTCACGACATTTTTGTTTGACCCTTTGATTATATGCTCGCTTGACAATTTTCTTTTGTGCCATTAGGAGGTTGTAAGCGTCAAGCCGATCTTCTTCCAAATCTTCTAAGTCTTGTAACATGGCCTGGGTTTATTCGGCACTGGACAAACTACTCAGCTCGATCACGCGTAACGAATTTACACTTAGCTCGACTAGCAACATCGAGTCATGTCCATAGGTTAGCGCATATAGGGTGGTCCCTGTTGCCAACCGAGGTGAAGTCCGGTATGCCCATAAGGCTTCATTCAATTTTAAATGCCACAAGCCCGGTCTTTCTTTTATCATTTTTTCGAGAATATCAATCAAAACCATATTACTTGCTTCGGCTTGTCCATTTGCTTGTGGATAGTATAGTGTGGACTGCTCAAGCTGAATTTTTAAGCTTGCTGTATATTCTTTTAACCTTTCAGCTGTGAAGACTGTGCCATTATCAGTTATGATTGTTTCTAGTACGCCGAACCTGGTCACAATATGTTCCTCCACAAAATCGCAAACCTCCTTGGATGTTAATTCGGCGTATGATTTTGCTTCAACCCACTTAGTGAAATAATACGTTGCCACGAGTATCCATGCATGTTTTGTTTCTTTAGAAGATGGTGTGATTTTGCCGATTACGTCCATTGCCCATCCTTTGAACGACCAAGGTTTAGTGACCGAATGAAGTAATTCGGTCGGGGGCCTTTGGATAGGTCCATGAATTTGACACTGGATACATCCTCGTGCATACTCAATACAATCTTTCAACATGCTTGGCCAAAAGTAACCGTGTCGGCAAAGTAACCAACGCATTTTGCATCCTGATTAGTGGGCTTCACAAATTCCTTCATGTACCTCTGTGATTGCTTGGGCAGCTTCTTGTGGGCCAAGGCATAACAATAATAAACCGTCCTCGCCTTTTCGATACAACTCATTCTGGTATGAGACATAGTTTGTGGCATGTACCTTTGTTTTCCTGTCGTGTTTACCTTTGGGGTTATCAAGGTATTGCATAATTGACCTCCTCAAGTCGCTTGGTAGCGTTTCGACCACGCACACCTCCACAGGATCCTTTCGTTCCAACAACGAAGGTAAAGACATTACCCGTGTACGGATGACTTGGTTTCGCTGAAGGACTTGTTGATTAACCAGAGCTGGACATGATTGCCGTAAAACATGTACCATTAGTCAACTCTTGCCCCCTAGGAGTTGTGCTCTAGAGGCTATCTGAGCGAGTTCGTCCGCAATGGTGTTCTGCCCATGGGAAATATGATTGAATGTGTTACCGTCAAATGACTCAGCCAAGTAACTGGCCACCATGTGATAGGGCGCCAGAGTACAACTCATGAACCGAAAAGTGCCATTAAGTTGGTTAATCACAAGCTCTGAATCCCCGAAGACAAGGACGCGGGCAGCGTGCAAGCCATTAAGTACGACAAGGCTGATAAGAAGAGCTTCGTACTCGGCTTGATTGTTAGTACAATCGAAATCCAACTTGAGGGAAAGGAACCAACGGTGTTGGTGGGGAGACTGGAGTATGATCCCCACGCCGACCGATATTGACGTGCTGGAACCATCGAAATACATCGTCCAATAATTGTCCCGTGCTTCCACCATTCCGATTTCAACATCGGTGCTCCCAAACCCATATGGAGAAGGGTGGTGGGCTAAGAAATTGACAAACGCTTGTCTTTTGACGGGTTTTTGTGGGACGTAGTGCAAACTGAACTCAGATAGTGCCAGCGTCCATTTCCCGATTCGACCTTTGACTATTGGCCGAGTAAGCATATATTGAATAACATCTGTCTGGGCAATGACCTGTGTAACGGATGGGAGCATATAGTGCCGGAGTTTTAATGCGGCGAAGAACAAAGCCAAACAAAGTTTCTCGAAGGGCGAATAATTGATCTCTAGAGGGTTGAGGTGTCTATTGAGATAGAAAATAGCCTGTTCTCGCCCAGCATCAGTATCTTGTGCAAGGAGGCAGCCGATGGATTCTTCGACCGTCGAAATGTAAAGCTTAAGGGTTTTATCACGTCGAGGCGGTACGAGGACAGACGGAGTTGCAAAAGCAACCTTGATTTGTGTGAAAGTCGCTCGATGTTCTTCACGCCACTTAAACTTGTCTGAATCTTTAAGTTTCAAAAGCGTGGAGAATGCCGTCATTTTGCCAGCGGAATTAGCGATGAAGCGACAAAGAAAATTTATTTTCCCCAGCAAGAACTGGAGTTATTTTTTGGTCGTCGGGTGTGGGGCGTCAATAATCGCACGAGCTTTGTTCTCGTCTACCTCGATGTCGCGATGGTGGACAAGAAATCCTAAGAAGTTGCCGGCCGACACACCGAAGGTGCATTTGGCCGGGTTCATCTTAAGGTTATGCCGATGCATGCGACTGAAAGCTTACCGAAGATCATCAATATACATTCGGTGACTTTTCGATTTGACCACGACGTCATCAATATATACTTCTACGGTTGTGCCGATCATGTCATGAAAATAGTGTTTATCGCTCGTTGATATGTGCCCCCAGCGTTTTTTAGACCGAATGGCATGACTACCCACTTGTAGGTTCCAAGTGCCCCTGGGCAGCGAAAAGCAATTTTATTAACATCGGCCTCGACAATGAATATCTGGTTATAACTGGCATGTCCATCCATGAATGACAATATCTCATGGTTAGCCGCGGCATCGATTAGCAAATCTGAAATCGGCATGGGATATGCATCCTTAGGCGTTGCTAGATTCAAATTTCAAAAATCAATGCAGATGCGTAGGGCCCCATTTTTCTTTAATACTAGTACGATATTTACCAACCAGTCGACGTATCGGGCAGTGCGGATGAATCCGGCATTCAAGAGTCGAACAATTTCGTCTTTAATACCGAGCTGTACTTTGGTCGAGAATCGTCGAGGAGGTTGTCGAAAAGGCTTGCATCCAGGTTTGATACGTAATTCATGCTCGACAAGGGCTCGATCAAAGCCAGGCATCTCATGATAGCTCCACGCAAAACAGTCTTTGAACTCATGAAGTAATTGAGGGAGTTTAACTTTCATGGTATGGGGTAGTAACGCACTAATAAACAACGACCGAGGATCGTCAGCTGTCCCAACATTGATTTCCTCTAGAGGATCTTTAACTTGGGGCCGATTGTCTTCGAGTTCGGCCGGTGCGACCTGAACTTTGTCCAACGATAGTACTGGGCCGTTATCTTCCTTGGCCAGGAATTCGATTAAGTTGATGCCCGAATGCAAGTGCTTAGAAATAGCATACCAATGGGCCAACAGGCGTTCCATCGTGGATGAAATCGCGGCCCGATGCCTTTCGCTGTTGATGTCAATCATCAGTGGTTGGGAGAAAATTAGCCAAACCGAGTCTTGCTGAATCCTGGTAGACAGCCTCGGTGCCTACCTCGATGGCTTTCTGGACTGAGATCCTAGTCGACCGTCCATCTGCATTAAAACCTTGTAGGGTAATATAGTCGACGTGATCATTATAATAGCGGGCCTGAATCATGTTGGTTTCAAACGGCTGAGTATCAGCTGAATGGACCACGACCGATTTACCATCCTAAAAAATGAGGACTTGGTATAAAAAAGAAGGAATGCAATTCGTTTAATGAATCCAATCCCTACCGAGCAAAGAATTATATTCGGTTTTTGAGTCGACGATAAAAAATACGGTCATGTGATTGCGACCTGCAATGTTGACCTCTAGAGGGAGTACCCCTTTGGTCTGAGACTTGTCACCGACAAAGCTACTCATAGTGATTCTTAAAGGAATGAGTTCGTCGATGGATCGTCGTAATGCTTTCATGACAGATACAAGCATGATATTGACTGTCGCTCCGCAATTGACAAAAATCTTGGAGATTGGGTAGCCCTCAATATGGGCCGTGACATACAATGGTTTTAAATGTTGAAGATTAGTCGAGGAGGAACGGGGAAACAAGATGTCCAAGGCTGTTTTAAGTTTATCATTGTCGTTAGTTGACTCGTCTTCAGGAGTAGTGACGAAATCAACATGTGTTGCCTCATCGGTGACCACATCGCCGTCCAAGGAACTTGGTTGGTGTGTAGTTAACTGAAATTCAGTAGGAAGAACATGGACCATGCTAATTTCCATATTTTCAAGGATTGAAGGGCCCATTGGATCCTGGTCGTCATCTTCCGGAGTGAGGAGGACTATATCATTGTGTGTTAGAGCATTAGCGGCCAATTCGCTATGTGTCTCAACATATTCAAGCGTTTGTGTCGTCTTCGGACTTGCATGCATCTGGCGTCGGATTCTAATCCTGCCGTATTTGGCGAGCTCGTTCTTCATAGGTGATCCGGACTTTCTTAGTGTCCAGGTAAGCGTCTAGACGTGCCACCCATTCTGTCTCATTGGCCATTAAACCGAACAAGGAGACAGCCGAAAAGACTTCGAAGTTATATCGAAGGTGTTGAAGGTCGTCGAGAGAAAAAAAGAGCTCGGCTGTGTCAATGTCCGTGTATGGATCGACCTCGAAGCCGAGAACCTTAGCCTCTCGAATGTGCTGGAATCTGGCTTTCATCGCCGGATCGGTGGTTTTTTGAATGATCTGCTCAGCATCGGGGCAAGTTAATGCCAGGTCAAGAGCTTCTTGGTAAGCCTTGGGCAACCCATATAAATCATTGGCGGAATATGTCTTGTGAAATTCTTTCATATATTCTAATGAATCGCCGAGGAATGAGGGATGCAGATTTCGTTGAACTTTGATTAGAGGTTCTTTCAATGGTAATGGAGGCAGTTGGCTTTCGACCTCTTTCTTAAATTGCTCGAAATGAGCTTTCATTTCGCTGGGCCGAAGAAGAAGCTTAATGCACTTCTCGGCTGCTTCAATGGTAGTTTCAAAGTCCCGATTAGTTTCCTTCTGCCCTTGTAATTCAGCCATGATTGTTGGGGTTGGCCAATCATCTCCGTTTCCTGCCGTCTCTTTCAGCTGCCATTTAGTGGCCGAGACAGGCTAGGCAGCTTGTCGTCGAGCCAAGCAATCTATACACTGACGTCGACGTTTCTGGGATTTGGATAGCGCGGTATACATGCTGGTAGGAGAATTGTAGCTGTACCAATGTTGGTCACATGGTTCAGGTGGCTTGAAGGTTTTTTGATATGCTGATGAGCTTGAACTACTGGAATTGCGGGAATAATAGTCCTCGTTGTAAAACGGTGCGTCAAAATCAAGGCGTCGTCTGACCGATGTAGGTCCATCTGTCTGTTTTCTTGGGCCGAGCCTGTCGTATACTTTTTGGCGCTGGCCTTCACTAGGTTCCTTTGAAGGTTTTGCTGTAATCGTCGATTGGTGTTGTGATGTTGGCATCTGTATCGGAGACAATTTCCCCTTGGGCTTGGTCAATACAACTCGTGCCTTACAATTGCTACACAGAACTATCGGCCCGCCATTCCCATCTTCGTTGGAGTCTGACATGGACTCGACTATGGCAGGTCCTGAGAGTTCGGTAAGTGGTGCATTAGAAAACAAGTCGATCTTGAGTCGAGGTTGGGAACCTTTCTTTAGGATCTGTGGTACTATTGGCCCATCATTTTCTTCGTTGTTGTAGTTCGACATTGGTTCGACTATGGCTGGTCCTGATAACTCGGTAGGTAGCGCGTTGGAAAATAGATCTATCTTGAGTCGAGGCTGGGAGCTTTGCTTCCGGATGTGTTGTACTGGGGTTAATTCGACCTTCTCTTTTCCTTTGCTTTTGGGCAAGCGAGCGTCTACCATGCCGACTATCGCTGAAGGGAATGGATTCGTATCAACCGTCATGCGTTTTTCAGGGAACTTTAGCTTGCCTTTGTTAATCCAACTTTGGATATCATCAGAAATACGACACAATTGTTTGTGGCATGCTTGGTCGAGTTATGATATTTACAATATGTCTTTCCTTTAAGCTCTTCGGCCGTGGGAATGTTACGCCTTGGCCGAAGCTTAACGATTTTTGCTGATAGCAATTGATCAAAAATCGCTTCGGCCTTTGTAATATCAAAGGTGTAAACTTTTGAAGTCTTCGCTGTTCCTTCCGTGGTCGAGTGAATTTTGGCATCCTTGGAATTAATTTGAGTCAATGGCTTGCAAATGTATGGTTTATCTATTATTATCTCGGCCGCGTCCACGCTGATGTACTGAGACTCTTCGCCTTCGGTCGATGCATAACTAACTGTGGGATTTTTGTATATCGTCCCCCGAGATGAGGATTTCGAGATCTTTTCTTCTCAGATCAAATAATCATATTGCTCGACATGCTGGGCTAGTTCATACATATCTCGAAAGTTTGCCCCCAAGAATTTCTTTTTGTATTCCACATCGAGGCCATTCAGAGCGAGTCTAACAAATTTGACTTTGAGTAGAGGCACTCGGCACCAATTACTGGCCTATTTGAATCTGGTAAGATAATCCATTGGTGACTCATCAGATGCTTGAGCCATCATTGCTAATGAAGAAACTGACATTTCCATCCCTGGCCGATAAAACTGCTCGTGAAATTTCTCGACCAACTCCTCCCAACTTTGGATGGAATTAGGAGGGAGGTTAATATACCAGGCAAATGCTGAGCTGGTTAATGAAAATTTGAACAGCCATAGCTTATGAAAGTCACTATTAACATCTCTGCATTACGCAGTAAAACGAGCCACATGTTCCAACGAAAACAGGGACGATTCACCGGCAAAAAGGCTAAAATCTGGGATTTTGAAACCTTTAGGGTATTCGAACTGTTCCACATAAGCTGGATACAGATGGATAAATTTAGGGAACTTCGGCCCTTTTTTCATGGCCGAATCGATCATCCGTTGAACCTCGGTCATATCAACGGGTGTGGCTTCTACTCTATGGTCGGATCCGCTTGACCTACTATTCGATCCTCCTCCTTTTTCCGAGTCAATTGGTTTGAGCCGAGCAGGGATTGACTCGGCTTGTACAATTGGTGACAGATTATTTCTTGGTGGCAAGTGCTGGAAAAGATCGAAAGACATGTTGTCGCTGACCTTACTAACCAGTATTTCGAGCAATCTGGTTTGTGTCTCACTAGTACTGCGTATCACGTCATGCAGTTTATCGATTCCTCGACTAAGCGTCTGTTCAACTGTCCGAGACTGCTCATCAAGTCGTTTTCGAAGAAACGATCTTGTTGGTGGATCAGATCCTT